GCTAGACACAGTCACAGGTTGCAAGAGACGTGGTGGAATATCCAACCTTGGAGAAAGTAGAGATTTGACTGGACAAGGACCTGAGAAATCTGGTCTATCTTTGTAGATAGTCTGTGTTGAGCAGTAGTTTGGACTAAAAGGCCTTGAGTGTTCATTATGTGCATTATCCTTCTTTCTGACTTAATTTGTGTTCCAGCTTTGTCTGGAATTATTTTCCTTTTCTGCACTTTATCTGTCACTACTGGTTATGTACTGTTTCATCTTGCTGTTCATGTTATCCTTTCTAACTGCTCCCTGGAACACGCCAATTTGTACTGTTTCATTTTTTACACAACCCTTTCTTGACCAAATTTAGAAGATGATGCACAGTGTACTCACCATCTCTATGATCACTTCATCTGAAGTGTCCTGCTGTGCCATCAGTTTGGATGTACATTGTACTAAGTACTGACAAATCTGTACACTCCCATACATCTTAGCAGCAATTTTCTGACCACAAATATCTGCAGTTCGCACAGTTCCCAACATTCACATTCTCTATAGATTAACATACCCCAGTAGTATAAATCATACAATAGGATGGGGAACACATTGTTAAAGAGATGCAGTAAGGCTGCGTTCCTGCTTCAGGCACTATTCTGAACAACATAATTATGATGAACGTTTAAAGATGTCCATAAAAGAGCAAAAAACTCATGAAAACAAATTTGCCTAAAATATGTTCTTTTGCTGCAGCCACCCTGAAAAACTGGCAGGGAGCATTTTAACCACATCTACCAAGCACCAAGTTTGTCTGGTTGTTGGCTTTCTCCTCTGAATTTTGCACCATTCCCTGGTGAGCCTAATGCCCAGTCTGAGAACATTTAGCACGGTCACTGTTAGGTTGGGAGCTAGCGTTCAGAGCAGAACAGGTACGGAGAATGCACAGGGATCAATATGATCCTTACATGAGCTGCAGTCAAGGCACACAGAGGGTGAAGCTGAGTCTTATTTGATTTCCCTTTTGCATCACTGTAGTCATGCTCAGAGGCCATTCAGCAACTGGGTGGGGAATTTGATGATGGACAATACTGTTCTTCCTCACTTTTTTTCACAAGGTGAGTTTCTTGTTTTTCCTCTACATTTTTACTGGTGACAGATCCTCAAGTATAGGGAACAGGTCTGTGTTTCTGTAGCGTGAAGCATCTGGTATGCTTGGGAGATCTGAATCAACAGCTAAATTAATTTTCCTTATCAGCAAAAGCTTGTTTCTTATATGTTTAGATCTAAGGACAGGAGATTCTGACTTTTTCTACTGAGAGGTTTTTTCCCCAACTACTTCTTAAAGTTATAACATCACCCTTGTTATACTGACTTATTGTTCCACGCATAATCCTCACATTTTGTAACACATCTTGTGTAATCATTTAATCACGTAAAAGACAATATTAATGCAGAAGTTTCCTTAAGAGACTTTTTAAATGTAAAATTGATAGTCTCCATGGAAATGTAGCCCAATACAAGCTTTTCTTCTGAGCCTCCTACTCTAGTGACACTTTTAATATTTGCTAATTATGCACATTCAGCCTTCTATTACATAGTAGTAGGCAAATGCTAATTGCTGTTTGATCATTGGAGAGCTTAGATCACTATGGACAATCTTGAAAATTCTTGAAAATTTCTATGAAATATATGTATACTGAAATTCATGTTGATGAGAAGCCTGGAAAGTAGAGCTTCTCTTCCTCTCTTCTTTATAAGGGAGGTAGCTATTAAAATTCAAATTACATGCAGCACTATTTGAATTAAGACAGAGACAAACAAAGGGTTCTATTGTTTAAAATTTTAATAGTTTTGACATGCTGCAGCTGCTCCAGAATAACCTTTACTTTGGGAGAAGGGTTTACTTGGTCATGTTTCCAATTTCAGAGAAAAACCATAACCCAAGAGTCACATTAGTTTTGTCTGTCTTCAACATTTTTTGTCTACATCCAGAAAATGCAAAGATATATCTATGTACCTCAGATTTAGACTCCCTTGTGTAATTCAAGAGTGCTGCATTTACTCTTTTTAAGGATTCTACCTAACTATGTAGTATGAAGAGATGAGATGACAGACTAAATTTTGACCTGGAAACTAAATTTAGCTTATTGATAAGGACATAATAAAGAGGATGACTAGCCCACAGTTTGCATATATGTGATTATGAAAACAGCAAGTTTTGGCTGAGATTTATTCCTTTAAAAAAAAATTATAAAACCCAAAAAAGCTGAAATAGACACGTTCATCACACACTCTGAGCTGAAGTGTCCTATGAAGATGTGTATCTATCTCCTTCAATGACAGAGGAAACTTAATGAATTGCCTGAGATTATGATGAGTGAATCTGGGGTCTTATTATTTGGGTGGGCTAAGGCACTGCAGCAACCTAAGTCTGAATGCTTAACCCAGCAAATGAGAAACTGGACCTACAGGAAATCACTAGTTAGAAACTGCTAGAAATCAGTATGTAAAACACACTGATTTAGATGCAGAGATTTTGGAAGGCACAGTTTCTCTGAAAATTACAGTTTATATTAACCACAAGCTATTTGACCATATGGTATCTGACTATTGATCTTTACTCATGCTCATGAATGTTGTTTATGCAAGCAGTTCCCTTGACTTGACCTGTACTGCTTGCAGAGGAAGGGCTTATTCAGCACAGGCAGTACTGGCATAATCTGACCATATGAGCCTGTACTGCAAATATCAGTGCTGCTTTTAGAAATGATAGTCATCTTGATAGTCATAATTCTCAAGGTTAATGGCTTCTTCAAACAAGTGCTTTGGGATGATGAGTTACTTAAAGCCTTTCCTAAGAAAACAACAGTGCCAGAGGTTGAGGGTAATGGAGGTTATTCCTCTTCCCACTGCACTATTATGGGAGAGGAATTGGTGATCAAAATTTTAGATCTGCCTTTAACTGAAACTATCCCTATCCCTTCTCAAATTCTGCCCTTTTCTCTGCGGTCTAGTTTCTTTCTTTAAAAAGATAGATTCATTAAAAAAGCGACTTTGGTGTATCAAGGTCTATGCATCAGTTATTAATTTGTTCTTATTATCCTTCAGCCTCAGGATACTGTGAAAGGGGGACAGACACTGACCACCTGCTATTTTGGAAGGCTGGACAAAATAGTTACTACTACTATCTCCTCTGGGCATGGGAAAGTGGAGAAGAGTCTTCTCCTCTTTCCCAGCATCGTAGAATTTATTTCTGAGGAAGTAATGTATGAAACTAATGAGTTTTATATTGGTTTCTTATTTCTTGATGATACAAAACTGAGAAATTTTACTGGAGGATTTATTTTTTTATATATTTAAATGTGAATCTCACCCACTGAAGTTAGTCTGACTTCCCTATAGGAAATGTCATTCTAAGCAGCCTGCCAGACTGATTAACTCCTTTGCAACAATACTAGATACAGGCTTTTTAAAATGTTAGTAGCAATATTTACCCAGTGAAGAACAACACACCTTACAGGGAAGGCTGGTGGTGAGGACTGTGTTACGCTGTGCTATCACGGAGTTATCTCAGAAAGCAGTTCATCTATGGAAGGTAGGTCCTTCTCAGAGGTTCCTGACACGTACACAGGATTTTCAGTCTTGCAGGCTTGTTTGCTTAAGTGAAAGACAGATGTAGCCCTGCCTCCTCCTTCCTGCAATGCTATACCGAGGAACATACAGAGAAAAGACACTGGCTCATTTTTCTCTGGACTATCAGGCACTGCCAAATAGAGTATTACACATTCAACACTGCATTGTTAACTATCTATGATAAATTATGACAAAAGCCTTGTCAGTTTGGTTGCTCTAAAGAAAGATGAGTGTTTGGGAAAAATTCTGAAAGTGAGGAGAAACAGCATCTTAAATGGCAAGCTCTGAGAGAGGTAACAGTATCAAAACTCCACCAAAACATTTCAGAAAATTTTCTGCATGAACTTGCCTATGTGATGGTCACTTAAATGAAGATAAACTTCAGTTCTTGCAGTTAAGACTACTAAGTCCCTCCTTCTACAATTTCATTTCAGTCACAACCAAGTATATTTAGCCTGACCTGGTCCAACTTGTCTTGGCTCCTAAGATAAGCAACAAAGAGAGACCATGGCACACCAGGAGAGAAACCATCTAGCAGGGGAGACATGCAAACATAGGGAGAACCTAGAATAGCCCAATCCAATAGGATTGATCAATCACACAGGAATAAATTTAAGGCTGACATGGCACACACATAGTAGGCTTTCAGTAACCCCAGACTGAAATTTTTATTTTAAACTATCAAGACAAGGTGATAATCTTCCCCATCCCCCTACCCCCTTTTTAAAAAATGCTAGGGAATTTTCTTATTCCTTCTGATGTATTTTGTTTGAAGTTGAGTGACAAGTTCTCATCAGTGGCTTTGGACAGAAAAAAATACTCTGCATGTGCATTTTAATGCAAACACTCACTTGAAAATGCTGGTCAGCACTATTTGCAATAGGTGGGTCTGTCATATCAGAAAGAATCATACTTTAGGTAACTAAGATTAGTGATGACACTCCAGAAATGACACTGTGCCTCATTTTAATACATGAAAAATAATTACCGGGGCAAAGAGCAAAGGTCTACTTATTCATAAGTAGACTTACAAAGAGAAAAAATGGGCACTTAGAAGAAACAGAACAATTTCTGTCCTGGAAAAAAAAAGATAGTAAAAAGAATATCAATGTGTATGTTTCAGGGCACTGCTTAATCACAGGAAAGAACCCCTTCTATCTTTTGTTTTCTCTCACTGTAACATATTAGGTGGTAACACTCTGGACTTTTAAACTCTTTGCGAGTTATTACTCTTGCTAGGTATTGGAGGAGATGGACCATTTGCCTGTTTTGGTAGGTCAACCATTCATGACAGAACTCTACTGTATCTTTCGGCCTCAGGAATGCTTGGGAAAACCACAGTGTCAACACACTTTTCACTGTATTTTCTTTAGTAATACATTTACCCAGGACCCACGGTAATATCATCCACTCGACGATGGTTGGTGGGGGTCCCTGCATGCTCAAGTCTGACCTGTCGATGTGTTGAGAGGCAAGCAACAGCAGGAACAGAAAAGTCAAGTAGGATGCAGTATGGCAGATAAATTTGATAAATGGCTTTCTGATGAACAGCCCCAGTGGGCTTTTGGGAGCTATCAGGTAGCACACAGAGAAGACTGGGAATAGAAGTCCTATCACAACACATGTCAACATCTTCACAGCCCAGTGTCGCCTCCTCCATCCAGGGAACTCATCATACCATCGGGACGCAAGCAGCTGCTGGCAGTTGGGCTGAGCAACAAACTACAGAGAGAAGAAAGGAAAATGATTAGTTCTTGGTACCTCTATAATGTTATTTCCATGCCATGTGGAAATGCAAAAAAGTATAGTACAAAGCCAACAACATTCACTTTTCCCAATAAAGCTTGACTTCCCATTGGTTGAGTACACAGTCTGTAAAACACATGTACCTCAAAATCTGTTTTCAAACTGAGAAACAAGTTCACAAATACTTCCACTATTCAACCAGCAACATTTGTGGAGAATTCACAGAACTTGAGGTGGATTTGACTATGAAAATGAAAAGCACGTCTGAGATCTGTAAGCAGCAGAACAAAATTCCACAGCCATGAAAAAATTATTCTATGTTCCTTGCTAATTCTCTAAAAATGAGTCTTACATGCTTTTATGGTGACAATACTCTTTCACATACATTACATAATGCTTGCATAATACAAACTAAACACTAGCATTCCTCAGTGCTTCATTAATCCTTGTCAGGAAATACTCCTATCCTGTAGAATATTTTGTGGTCTGTCTGTTCTCCATGATGTGATTTCAGTTTTTAAAATACAATTTTAAAATTGATTTCACAAACCAACCAACACCAAAAAAAAAAACCCACAACCAATGAAAAAGTAAATATTTACTATTTTTCAGATAGCTTTTCAAAGAAGTTTTAAGTTTATTTTTTATTTGATAACTCTTTTCCCAAATGCTTTCTTTTATGAAGGGGACACAGAATAGCAGCATGGTAGACTTGACATAAGAGATACAGAATAGATGCAACATATGTATCAAAGAGGGACCGAGTTGTTGCATTATGTTAAAAAAGGAAAAACGAAAAACACACCACAAAGAAAAGAAGCATTTTCCTTATATTACTGTGGTGGGTTGGGCTTGGCTAGATGACAGGTACCCAGCAAGCCCCTATATCACTCCCCATCCTATCCATTTCAAAGATAATCTAACATCAGGGTATTTTGTGTGGAGTTTTAGAAACCAAACAAGGGATCTGAAACAGCAAACCTTTAGTTCTCTAATCTTGACAGCTTACAAAGGCAAAAACTTGCCTCCTCTTTTGAAAAGAATACTAGATGTCAGACAGAACTCACTACTTCTTGGGGGAAATGTTTTTCTTTTTCTGAGGTACAGAACTTGCTGGGCCTGCTACAAAGCCCAGCTTTTAATTGGAAACTGAGGGAGGATAGAATCCAAAGGGCCCAAGACTGAGAGAATCATATTTATGTTTGAACTGGCAGAATATCTATACTGTCAGTTTTACGATGAGGTGGGTTGACCCTGTCTGGATACCAGGTACCCACCAAAGGTGCTCTATCACTTCTCCTCAGCTGGAGAGAGGAGAGAAAATAAAGGTTTGTGGGCTGAGATAAGGACAGGGAGATCTTCTATAGTAATAAAGGTTTGTGGGCTGAGATAAGTACAGGGAGATCTATAGCTATGCTTTTCTGCTTAATTTATCAAGGAGTTGTAAGACATTATTAAAAATATCCAAATTAGTTTTCACAGATTTGGCTACTTGCTCCATCTTTGTGGTTGAGAGATTTGCATCATATGCTACGAAACGTTTGGTAGTGATACTACGTTATTTATTATATTAGCTGAATAACGAGAGAAGTTCTTGAATGAGGAACAGCTGCAGCACCCTCATGGCAAGAGAAGTATACTCAGTAGTGGATTCTACAGTCTTGTTTCTCAGCTGCCTTGAGAGGAGGAGTTTCTTACTGCACACTGCATCTCCCTTCTTGCCCTGTGGACCTGTTTCCTCCAGAGGAAATGAGGGGAAGGTATTGTGTACCTGCACCTTAACTTCACATGTAATAAGTATTTGAGTGCATAAAGGAACTGTGGGTGGGGAAGGCTTCCTGGGAATCACAGTGTAAATGTCACCTCTATAGGCTGTCTCAGACATTACTCATAGGTCACATATGGTTGTACAGATTAATTAAGTTTATCTGTAAGTAATTTATTTTATTTATGATCCTGAATGCTTATTACTCGACTATTTGATTGACTCACTAAAAAGCCCTTCTCTACAGAAAAACAAAAAAATCCCAAAAAACCCACAACCAACCAACAAACCTATTCATGGCAAAATTCTCTGCTTAAATGAGATTTATAATATAACTATTATAAAACTTTCTATTAGAAGTGGATGGGAAAAAGAGATGCTGCAAGCCATAAAACTCTCCCTGTATAAGTGGGTGGGATCACAATGGAATCTACAATGACCACATAGTAAAGCTAAGTCGACATATAAGTCCTCTAATGAACTGGGAGCTAAACTTTTTTTTTTAAAAAAAGCATTTTACACAAACATTTTACGACTAGCAGAAACAGAAATACTCTGTGACATTAATTTGCCAGTTTTGCATTGCCTATGCCAAAATATTTTCACCGTAGTGTATTTTTTCTTCCTTAATTGGAAATATTACATTCTGAAGTATTCAAAGTATCTTTTGTACTGTCAGTATTACGTTGTATTTTATTTGACTTTGACATTGTCTCCATATAATTAGCAATCAGCAAGTTTATATTTTCACATTACAATGGCTTCCAATAGCTTCCAGCAGTTTGTAATTATGTGAGGGATTTTGCTGTAATGATTATTCCTGGTTGCACATCTTTAGCTCCTTCATAAGAGTCTGCCCGTCTGAAAATGTTTTGGTATTCATTCTCTTAGTTGTCATGCTAGGAATTGGCTCTTCCCCGAGACTGGTGAAAATCAGAAATTATTCACAGTGCCAGCAAAAATAATCGGGTATAAATAATAGCAGAGCCTGATTCTAGTGATACCCAAGCATATACATAGCCCAGATTTTAATTTTAATTTCTGAATAAATCTGATTTTTAGATTGCTATAATACATATCCTTCAGTCAACGGAAATCATGAAGAAATAACACAAGTGATACTATTAACTATATTTTGTCTCTATAGAAAGAGTATTTTTATTAAAATAATAGTTTTTATAAATATCATCATAAGTCAAGTCAGTTCTTGCGTAAAGCACAATAATACCTCTAAGTATTTAATTTATTGCATTAGGAAATGCATAAAGATATTAAAAAAAACCCAAAAAAAACCCCACAAAAGACAACATCCTCCACTGGTAAAAGGGCATTCATTTTTACACTCCAAAGCAATCTAACAAAATCTGAAGTCCAAATTAAATTCTGAGATAAGTAGGTGGTATAGTATATGTAACATAGAAAAAGAACATGAATCATCATCTGGAAATGAAAGCTGTCAAGGGTAAGTGATTTCAAGTGATTTCCTTTTTGATGTGTGGGCAAGTGCGTATACTGAAAGACAAAGAACTAGCCCTGATACAATTCCATACAATATAGATGAATTGAATACAATAGATGAATGTTAAAGATCATTTTTGGGGAAGGAAGTAAAAGGAAATGGTTATCATAATGTTTTTTAGCAATGCTTCCTATAAAATCATGACCAGATTCTCCATTGTACTGGTTTGTAGTGCCACTACAGCCAAGCTGGTAGGAAATGTTATCTCTGAGGTCTGTTACTTTGTCACACATGTTTTCCAATGACTGTACTTCAGTGCAACAAGAATTAAGCCAAATCATTTTTATTTCTCTAGAATATTTTACTTTTCATATTTTACATATTTCTCAGATATTAAATTAAAATCCAAGCTCTTCTAGTCATTTAACTTAAAACTTAAATGTCAAAATTCTCTACCTACTGGTTGTGAAAAGTATATTTGCATGGCACTAATGACAGATCGAAGTCTCAACTTCATTAAATAGATTCCTAAATTTGGTAGATTATTTCTCCCTCTAGAGACATCACTGCCTATTCTTTTCTATATCTTTCCCCAAAGATTACATTTGTCGATTTCGGCGCTTACTCTGTGAGGACTGGTTCATTAAGACAAGTAACACTTAATTGCACTTTAAATGCTTCAATGTTATTGACTGGTTAAGCACTACATTTTCCTTTCTAAAGGCTAGGGACCATGTTCTAGACTCCTTTGGGTATAGTTATACTGTCTGTTTTCTGCCCCAGGCCAGGAGCCCTCATTCCTCTGCCAACTACTGTGAAGCTTATGTTCACCCTAAGTCTAGTGCCAACTGGGCAGACTATCATTATAATCATGATTCTTGCTGGACCCAAACCACTGGTCAACTTTTCCCCAACACCGTCTGCATCTTTGTCATTAAGGGAAGTAGCCAGCTCAGACAGGATCAGAGCATGAGAACACTAGCTGGTGCCAGCTTGTTGTGACATTCAAGAAGGCCAAGTGCCGGGTCCTGAAGTTGGGTTACAACAACCCCCTGCAATGCTACAGGCATCAAGAAGAGTGGCTGGAAAGATGCCCAGAGGAAAAGGACCTGGGGGTGTTGGTTGACAGCCGGCTGCGTATGAGCCAGCAGTGTGCCCAGGTGTCCAAGAAGGCCAATGGCATCTTGGCCTGCATCAGGAACAGTGTAGCCAGCAGGACCAGGGCAGTGATTGACCCCCTGTACTGGGCACTGGTGAGGCCGCACCTTGAATCCTGTGTTCAGTTTGGGACCCTCACTGCAACGATGACATTGAGGTGCTGGAGTGTGTCCAGAGAAGGGCAACAGAGCTGGAGAAGATTCTGGAGTGCAAGTCCTATGAGGAGCAGCTGAGGGAATGGGGGTTGTTTAGCCCAAAGAGGAGAAGACTGAGGGGAGACCTTATCACTCTCTATAACTACCTGAAAGGAGGTTGGAGAGAGGTGGGTGTTGGTCTCTTCTCCCAAGTGACAAGTGATAGGACAAAAGGAAATGGCCTCAAGTTGTGCCAGGGGAGGTTTAGATTGATATTATGAAAAATTTGTTCACCTAAAGGGTTGTCAGGCACTGGAACGGGCTGTCCAGGGAGGGGGTTGAGTCACCATCCCTGGAGATATTTAAAAGACAGGTACATGTGGCACTTAAGGACATGGTTTAGTGGTAGACTTGGCAGTGTTAGGTTAACGGTTCATAGCATACAGTTCATGTAAATCAT